TAGAAGATGGAGTTCTTTCTTCTCAAAGCAACACTCCCCCCCACCCCCCAGCATCTGACCTTTCCAGCAGTTTGGGGAAGCCCGAGGATCCCTTCTCAGAATAACATTTTTAAATGCAAAAAATAAAACACTTAAGATTTAGAAAGGAAATCAACTGTATTGAAATCAAACATCAAAATATTAAAAAAAATATTTTGACATATTTAAAAATGTGCATACATTAACATATGTGCTTATGTTTGAATGTGTTAAATAACCGGATGCAGTGGTGGGTCTAGTAACTGCAAAGTATTGATGACTGAAAATGATATTTCAAGATACAGTTGATACTTATCATTTGTGAATGTACCTACATGCTAAAATTTCTCTGTAACTCTCAAAATCAATACTCGTGGTGTCTTTACAGTCATTTGTGCCCATTTGCTCGGAGCAGTGACAGGTTTGAGTTGCCCAACTTGCATGTTCCCAGCTGAGGTCCGTCAGACAAGGCGATGCTCTGCCTTCCTGTTTCAGCTCTCGTAATACACACACGTGTCCCCTTCACAGCATATTTAGCGTTACATTTTTGGCATTTTTATACTTTTACCTGGTGATTTTGCTCTTTAAAATGGCCACCCAGGGTGCTGTCTAGTGTTTCTAAGAGCAAGAAGCCTGGGATGTGCTACATAGAGAAAACACGAAAATACATGCATTAGCTGAGTTTGTTTGGGCGTGAGCTATAGTGCTGTTGCCTATGAGTGTTAATGAACTATGCGTTCAGTGTTAATGAACCTCCCATATATTAAGTAGGGTTTTTTTTTTTTAAAAAAAAAACAAAACAAGGCTATGTATTGATTAGTTAGCGAAAATATTGTGACCTCACCTTGTATTTCTCCTAATGAAAACAGTCCAGCATTTGCTAATTCAGTGTTCACGGCAACATCACGGAACATAACTTCCGTGAATAATAAGAATTGACTGTATCTGCAACAACTGTAATTGTGATGGGAAAATATTTGTGACAAAGACAATTACGACTTCACCTGTGCTTTGCTGTCTACATTCACGGTGGAAGGAAATGCTAAATTTTAGATGATAGTGAAGACAATTTTTTTTTCCCATTCCAGTTTATAGACACTTTTAATTCTGTGGGTCCCTGTGGATCCCAGTTAAAAATACCTTCTCTAGTGGGATTAAATCAGCGAGAGGGTGGGATGGAGAAGCCAGTGCAGATTCCTGGGGTCTCTCTCGGGTGCTGTTTTGTTGTATATCAATACAAGTCTCACGCAAAGATTTTTATCTGATCTGCTTTTCTGGGGAGCCTGAACATTTTTTTCACCAAGGACTGAGTCCAAAAGTCTTTGTACCAAGTAAAAAACACTGAGGATGGGTGGAAATAGAGATTCTTCATAATTATTCATGTGGAAAATGGTGAGCTCCATTTCAACCGTGAAGGGCAAGACAGGCCTTTGCTCTGAGAAGAGACAAACAAATTAGAATAGAATTTTGGGGTATTTTAGATGAAGATTGCTCAGAAACCCCAAGACCAAGGTGCCCAGAGACGAAGGCAGCCTCTCTGCTGATTGCTTTTCCTTGTTATCCTTCTCACCATAAGGAGCAGGATTCAATGGGCCAATTCCAAATGCGTCAAAAAAGAGGCTACTTTTTTGGATTTTGAAATAGCAAAAAATAACAATGTGTGACCGGAGAGCAGCACTTAACTTCTCATTCATTTATTCATTCATTCATTCAATACTATCTCTTGAGCACCTACAGTGGGCCAGGCATTGTGTTGGGGGCTACAGATGGCGGAAGTAAACATGACCGGCCAGGTTCCCATCCTGTGCAGCCTTGGTTCAGGGTCTACTGCTCCTTTCCAGGGCTCCTCCAGAAAAGCCCTTCGGGTGCCTCTCAGAGGACAAACCTCACACACCGTCATCTGGGAAACTTAAGACTGAAGCCACAGCTCAAGGGCCACCAGTGCTGAAAAGGGGACAATAGCTGTCCCACCCCAGCTAGCCTGTAAATCCTGGACACCCAGAAGTTATAAGAAGTACGCAAAGCACCTATAGGGACAGAACATTCCTAACCCAGGGAGAAAGACTTGGTTGAATCTCACAGAGGGGCCACGTCGGGATGGGTCTGGAGCATAGAAGATGCAGACAGATGTGGGTGAGGCTCACTCAGGGACCGCTGGACAGCGGAGAGGGCCTGGCCTCAGACTCTGGTTCTTGGGCAGGTGATAGTGGTATTTAGCATTGATTTACAGTTAGTATTTATTTGCAGTATTGGTGTTTTCTAAAAAATTGAGAGGGTGTCGCCCTCCTCTTGTACCCTGCAACCGGTTCCTCGGTGCTGTGCCCCAGAGTAGGGTCCGGGTTCAGGACTCAGTCACCTCTGTCCTCCCGCCTGAGCCTGCTCAGAAGATGGGACTCGTTAAATTATTCCCCAAGGTTGGGTGGGTGACCAGGCCTTAAGAGAATATAAACTGTTTTTTTTTTTTTTTGGAAGGGTGAGAAGTGGCAGGGAGAGAGAGGATATCCAGGCTGAGAGAAAGGAGAGGGTCAGGTGTGGGGACCCCCTCTTTGGACTCTCAGAATCTGCTTACTCACCCTCTCTGGTTTTCCCCCAACTTTTAAAATAACTCCAGTCCTTCAGGGCCTTCTGGGAGAAGATCAGAGCCTAAAATGAGTTCTCTATTCCCCCGACAGCAAAAGCAATACGAGGTTATCAACTTTACTCGCATCCTGGGAAGCAGGAATTATTAATAGGACAGCAATAAGGTACCTTGGAAGCATTCGAAATAGGGGAGGGATTGGCTAGAATTCTTCCTAAAGGAAGACTCAATTTTAGTGCAGCGTTCTCTGGGTACATCTTGAGACTGAATGATTAAGGTTTCAGATTAAATACCAACAACAAAACAGTTCTATAACAAGTATGGGTATTTTGGCGCTTAAAAATAATATGAGATGTTGAAACACCAAACCCAGTAATGTGCTTACCAGGATCCTATGAACAGATGCATCCCTCGGGGGGAGACGGACGTACCAGGTTTCCCAGCCCACCGCCTCGGAACCCCACACTCTCCAGTCCATCCTCCTTTTCACCTCCTTGTGTTTACTTCCTGCAGGAAACAGGCAGCCTCCTGACAGTGTGTTGGCACCCGCCCGTTGCCCCCAGAGTCCCGTCCATGGGACAGAAATGAATGGATTGACAACATTTTAAGTGTTTTGGCCCCCAGAACTGAAGCTCACACACAACCTGGCAGATTAATCTTGTGAGCAGAGGTGGATTTACTGCCAAGTCCAATAAAGCTGGGGTTTTAGAGTCCTTCCCAAAGCCCTGAAAGGGGCCCCAGAAATGTGCTCATGTGATCATATGCTTTGTAAAATTTACAAAGTTAAGACATTTTAAACACAATTGTTTCCTCTCCGTCACACTTTATGTATATCTAATGGCTCTGGAGTAGCCACGGGAATTTCTGGGATCCCCCTCAGTTTTAGCTAAGAGAGAATTGAAATGGAGATCCATTTGGGCTGGGTGTAGGTTGGTATTCACGTGGTGTGCAGTCATTCCTGTGCACAGGCAGGTTATTGCTAGACATCCGGGTGCAGGAAGGCTTCCAGGCACACTCCTATTGTCTACCAGCGTCGTGACTAAGCTGCAGGGCCAGTGATCATGTCACAGTATGAAAGCACGTGGGTGGCGGGGGAGAAACAAGGTGTGAGGTGCTCAAGGCCGGTCGCCAGTCTATGGCAATGGCAACAGCTTCCGATGGTCAGATGTGCACAGTGAACAGGGGATTTGGTTTGTACCAGTGTCCCGTGAAAACAGAAGTATTTCACTATCAGGAATATAGTCCATGCTAAGCCATATACAATTATACTCACATTGTTGTGCTAACTTTGTCGTCATTGAGACAAAGATTTGGGTGCAGGTGGTTTATTTGGGATGCAGGAATGAGGGAGCATGGAAAGTGAGATGAGGAGGAGGTAATAATGGTGGCATAACACTGTGCTACGGTGGTCCCGGCTGTGAGCAGGGGCGACTGATTCTGCTGGGACCCCAAGAAGCACACAGAGGGCCTCCCCAACTGACCACTCATGGAGGAGGCTGGTGCCTTCATTCACTGGCCCTGAGTTCCCCGGGGGGTGTTAACTGTCCCACGCCTCTGGGCTGTGCCAGGAAAGATCCTGAGGGCAGAATGCAGAAAGCTGTGCCTGCCTGTGCGAGGTGCTGGCAGCACGGGTGGCCTGGGCTCACACAGATGGACCACCAGGTCCGTGGCTGTGCTCACAGGTGGGCAAGGGAGGTGACACATGCATGAGAGTGATGTGCAATAGAATCGGTCAGAATTCATGTGCTTGTATATATGCAAACCTGTACCAGTACTGCAAACAGACAGGTGGGTCTTAGTAGCTCTCACCCAAAAGGAATGTGATAGAGGTCTTCCCAATTTGACAGCAATGCTAAAAATGTATACCACTTTACCAATGAGGAGTTGTGTAGTAGAAACTTCTAACCTATCAATGATAAGAAACAAAATTTACTTTTCTATTCCTTCTATAGACCATGATATCACAAAATCATTGTTTTAAGAAAGAGGTGATGAGATGATGCAGCTAAAGGAGGTAAGGAAATCTTTCCAAGGGAAAAAAATTGTCATTTTCCTGGACTTTGTGGCGCTTTTGGTAGCTGTCAACTTTTAAACAGTTGTCATTTGTTGTGATTTCTTTTCTCGCTCTAAGTATTCACGTTTTGTATTTACAGTTTCGCATTCTGTTTTCAGAGGGGGCCCCACAAAGCCTGCGCCAGTCCTCGGCAGCTGGCAGCTGCCTTCCCGGGAGGAGTGTGGGCTCGCCCGGCCACCCTGAAGAAGTCAGCAACGGAGCGAGGATCAGCTCCCGGGTACGCCAGACCCCGGGCAAATTGCCAAACATTGCTGGATTTCTTATGTGTCTTCAGAAGCCCTTTTTAGAACAATTAGCTGTTAAAGGGCACAAATACTGTCTTGCTAGGACTGGCACCCAAAAGCGCTTTATTAAAGGTTATTTCAGGAACAGTTGGAGGGTTACTGACCCCAGAGGCACACAGCATCACACTGTCACTCAGATACACTCGTAACCGAGAGAAAAGCATTTTGCAAACAGGCTGCTGAAAGAGGGTCCTTTGGGCCTGAAACGAAGCCACCTCCACGGCGGTGTGTTGAATGAGTTTCCCCAGCTCCTGCCTCCCGGTGCCCCACCAGGGGGGCGTGTTCCTGGGGGGCTCAGTGCCCGCCTTGGTCTCCAAACACCTGCTCAATCTTGGGGTTGAACGGATTCTCCTTTCCCAGGACCTGGGGCCATTGGAGCTGCACCTTCTTCCAGAAGCGATCTGCCAACAGCCGCGAAGCTGCCTGCAAAAAACAACCCAAAGGAGGAGGAAAGGGAAATTACAAAAAATAATATACCAGCAAGATTTACTCTATTCTCTCCATGGGGGGCAGCCTCTAGATTGGTCCGGTGGTCCCTACCCTCATGTTTTCCGTACAATCCTCTTCCCCTGCCGGGGTTGGGGCCTATCCCTTGCTTCTAACCGATGGAGTGTGGCAGCAGTGAGAGGATGTCACTTCAGTGTTTGTGTCACCTTACGTAAGGCTCTGCCTTGCTGGCAGACTCGCTCTGCAGACTCGCGGCTGGGTGGTGAAGGAAGAGGCCGGGTTGGGGGCCCGCACGGCCAGGAGCTGAGGTGACCTCCAGCTGACACCCAGCGAGAGTCTGGGTCCTCAGTCCCGCAGCCTCTCGGGGATGGATCTGCCCAAGTTGAGTTTGAGGACAGCTCTTCCCCGTGACTCTGCAGGTGAGGGTGTGGCCCGGCCGGCACAACTCGATCTCAGCTTTGTGAGACCCTAAGCAGGGGACCCAGTTAAGTTGTGACCCACAGAAACTGCGAGATAGTTAATAATAAATGTGCATTATTTTAAGCTGCTACATTTGTGGTAACTTGTCATTTAGCTCTAGAAAACAAATACACTTTCTCAGCAATCCTCTCATCCACTTAGCTGCGGACAGCCGACTCTACCACCAGCCTCAGGCTTGGGTTTTGGAGATGAACTTGCTGAGTCCTTCCTTCCGGGAGCTCCCGGCCTAGGGAGCGACCCAGGCATGCAACGTGACACCGCCAAGCCCAAAGTGACACCACTGAGCCCACAGGGAGGGCTGTGAGGAGGACGCACACACGCTGGAAAGAGAAGAGCTGCTAACTCTGCTGGGTGAGGGAAGGGCAGGTCCTGTCCGGAGAAGGTGGCGGCTGGGCTGGTTTCCAAGGAGAAGCTCGCCAGCCGCGTGCTGCGGGGAAGCAGCGTGCCTGGTGGGGGACACAGCGGGCATGAAGGCACGGGGGTGACAGAATGGCATGGCCCGGGAACTATGGGTGCCTGGGAGAGGAGCCTGGCCGGGTCACCTGCTGGGGCGGGACTCCCGGGAGCCCGTGAGTGTGCAGAGTCAGGCTGGAGCGCGGAGGAGTGACCCGCTCACAGCACAGCAGGCTCACGCCCGGCTCGCCCGGCTCGTGCTGGCTCTGCTTGCCCTGTCGCCCGGCAGGCTTCCCTTTGTCCGTGGTGTTAGCAGGATCCGATCCTGGTTGTCCAATCCTCTGGCTTATCGTGAACATGCCTCTGACGAGGAGGCCCTTTCTCTGCAGACAATGCCCTCATTTAGCAAATGGGGCCTGGCCAGGCTGTCCAGACCCAGATGGCTGTGTCTCTTCAACGCTGAACAATAGGAGACATGTGATTGCTGAAGGCTTCAGAGGGGAATCCATTGTTCAGGGAGGATGCTCAGGTTGTCTCTGGCTTTATTCAAAAGCACAGGGACATTGTCTACAAAGGGCAGTTCACAAAGTTCCCCATCCTACTAGGCAATTTGGCTGAGTCCCCGTGTGACACTGGGTGGCCCTGGTCCACTCCCTGGGCCCAGCTCTCTCATTTGCATAAGAATGATCTGAAGCAAATGACCTCAGGTCCTCTCTGGATCTACTTTGCCTGTAAGATTTTAGTAGTTAGAAAAAACTAGAACTGATCGATTCAATGCATTAAGTATCCCTAGTATTTTAATGTGTTCCCGAGCCTCCGGAGGTGTACCCCCTATTTCATTCCCTGACTATGTGATCTCGGTCATATCCATGCAGTGTCTCACCCATACACACACACACACACACACACACACACACACACACACACACACACACACACACACCACTAACACTTCTTTGCACTTGAAACCAGATCCAGTCAGAGGCTGCCTGTCAAACTGGCCAGTTTTCTGGGAAGGGTCGGATCATCTCTCACACAAAGCAATCAATGTCTTTTAAGATAGAGGCTGTTTTCCCTGCCATTTCTCAGCAAAGAAGGCTGCCGCCGGGTCTGTGAAAAAATACTGGTTCTTCTTTTTTGTTTTATCGGCTTTCAACTTGATACACCTAAGCAGTCTTTCTAACAACTATGCGGTACCCAGACATTTATTGCCCTATCTATGTTAATAAGGGAGGAGACAGGCATCAGGTAAGAAGAGGAAAATGAAAATGAAAGAGCTCAGATTTGAGCATGTGGTAACTGTTTGGTTCAAAAGCAATTAGTTGGCTGTCACTCTGATAGAGATTAAAATCTCGATGAATGGGCATTGCTAAAATATTGGGTATGAAATGAGAGAGGCATGGTTCTCACTAAACGAGAGACTTGTGATAAAATGATCCACTACAATCATTCATTCATGCTACAAATATTTACTGAGCACCTACTGTGGGCTTGCACAACACTCTCCTGTTGGACTCCTGTGACACCACGCACAGGGCAAGGCACAGTTCTCCTGCACTCTATTTTTTCCAAATTTGTTACTTTTTGAACACATTCTTTTGTGCTTCTCTACTCATAAATATATTAAAGCAGAACCTATTTATTCTAGAAAAATTGAAAAAGACAATTAAGCAAAAAGAGAAGAACAGAATAACTGTTATCTGTAATTATAATAGAGGTAGCCTCTGTTGACATTGGTGTGGAGCCTTCCTGCTTTCACATCTGAAAACACGCGCACACACACACACACACGCACACATGTGCAAATTGGATCTCTCTGTGAATATCATTTTATGATCTGCTCTTCTTGAGGTCTAATTTACACACAGTCAAATTAACTCTCCTTGGTAAACAGTTTCATGAGTGTTAACAAATGCATACAGTTGTGTCATCAGCCCTGCAATCTGCAGTCTGCTCTTATTTACTTTCCTCTATCTTACAAACATATTTCTCTGTCGCTAAAGGTAGATCCGTGTCATTGTTTATATTCGATGCATGGTGTGCCATCAGATGGGTGCCAGCTAATTCATTTTAACAGTGGAAATTTTGGTCAGATCCCCCCCCGCCCCCCAACATTTGTCCTCTGGACAAGGGATGGAGACGCCATCCTCCTGCCATTGCACACGACATCAGCAGCAGAAGGAATGGAATCTAGTCTGGTCCAGAAGAATGCTTGGGAATGGGGCATTCTGGTTAATTGGAATCTTTTGGTTAATAGAGTTAGGCCCTTCCAGGTTTCTTCCTTTGCAGTTAAACATCTTACAGAGTCCACTTTCTTGTTAAGTTGCATATAAACATATCCAATTCATAACACAGTAAAGCCAGAGGTGGTTTCTGAGTTCACTAAGTTAGTGTCTTGCATGTCCAGCATGATGCTTTATGTAATTGCTTCAGGATTTGGAATGCTGAGCATCCGTCTGTTGGTCTGTGACCAGCTACTCCCCCACCACTTCCTTCTTCTTCTTTTTAATAAAGAAATGTCATGAACAAGTGCTGTATACACAACAGATAAAAGTGGAGCTTCTCTGGTTGAAGCCATGGCTACCCACCGCTGGCTACTTTATCACCTGCTACCAGTGTGTGAGCAAATCTTGCAGGATTAGCGTGAGATTATGGCACATGTTGATCTTCAGCTTTTGACTTGGTTTTCAATAACCAGATATGGGTGGAGTTGTTTGAGTATAAGATAAGTCTCTAATTTGATGGACCTTGAACCCTAATATTATTTTGAGTCAGGGACAAGATGGTCACCTGATGGATCAAATACGTTCTGAGGGATACAACAAAGCCATCTTTGACCCTCTTGTTGGTTTGTTCCTGATTGACACCTTACCTGGCCATCTTTTCAATATCCCATTCTCTCTAGAGTCAGAAGGACAGAATTCTGCTGTGTGCAGGGAAGGACAAGACACGTACCTAATCATTGCCAGAAACAAGGGCTGCACATGAACTCTTCTAAAATGAAAGACATCATATTTTGAGGGTCCAGACCAGGGGTCCTCAAACTTTTTAAACAGGTGGCCAGTTCACTGTCCCTCAGACCGTTGGATGGCTGGACTATAGTTTTTAAAAAAAACTATGAACAAATTCCCAGGCACACTGCACATCTCTTATTTTGAAGTAAAAAAACAAACGGGCAAAAACACCCGCATGTGGCCCACGGGCCGTAGTTTGAGGACGCCTGGTCCAGACCCTGATGCTCAACCAGCTTCTAACCAGTAATTTTCTCAGATCAACTCCACAGGAAAGTTAGATATTCTGAGGTGCTTTTCTCAGATTTTTTTTGTGCGTGGCTATTTAAACCAGTGAAGTGAGCATTTAACACTCACTTTAAAATTGGCCCAGCATTTGTGAGAACCCCATGTTTATTCTTCTGTTAGGGAGTGGCACTCTCCTTTTCTTTTTCTTTTTCAGTTTGAGGAGATTCTTGAACCTGCCCCTTGGTAGTTGCTGAGCCCAGAGCTCCGGGGAAGGTGGGCTGGGCTTCCATTCGGGCTCCTGAGGGGCCCACCAGCCCTCCTTGTTGCCCGGCCGACCACTGAGACCCAGGCCACCGGGGAGCACCCCCACGAGTGCTTCTCACGTTTGCAGCCTTGTCATGGCCACGCCACACTCACCGAAGGCGGGCGCAGGACGACTGCCGCTTGGAGGATTGCCTGAGAGCACGCGGCCCACCCTCCCCGCCGAGGAAGGGCCAGCTCTCGAAGTTTTGAAAGTGGCAGAACTACTCCCCCACTTCTTTCTTCTTCTTCTTCTTTTTAATAAAGCAGTGTCAGAGCAAGTCCAGTATACACAACAGATAAAAGTGGAGCTTCTCTGGCTGAAGCCGGGATAATGGGATGGGGTGGAGACGGGAGGGAGCCAGCTCCACCCTCCAGCTCCCGGAGCCAAGTGAAGGGCAGGGGAGGGCCCTTTACAGAACTGTGCTCTGGAATCCTCCATGAGAAACAGCCCTCACTGCAGAGCACTGCCAAGGACACTGTCCTCTTCTCTCACAGCTTCTTTTCTAGAAAGATCCATAGAATGAATTTCTCATGCATCTCACTTACAAGAATTTTTTTTTTGGGGGGGGGAGCACTTCACTTAATTATTTACTTTTCAGATCTTAACGAGGCTATGACTTGCACCCCCTTTGCATGGGCTGCTGGAGAACACAGAGCTGATTTTTGTAGGCCCCCTCGGGTTAGGACTGCCCTGAACACGTTTTATAAATTGAAGAAATGCTCAGGAATCTTGGTATAATTTTTACCTTATTTTTCTTTTGTCCTGATTTTTTTTTACTTCATTTCTATTAAATTTATCTTACACATGTCTGTACATTAACCTCAGATCCTTTCTGGAACAAAACAGGATAAAAATAAACAGGAGTGCATAAGTATGGTGAAAAAACAAACAGCCTCCTGCAGCATCAAACGGCTGTGCTCACCTCGTTGGGGTGGAATCCGTCCACGGGTTCAATGAGCTCCCAGGGCTGCCCGCCTCTCTTCTGCCACTCCTGTATGACTGTGGGGCACACAACCACAGGGTTACGGACAGCAGTGGTCCATGCTCGAGGACAAGGACGTGAGAAAGTTCTTGGAGCTGCCCACTGCCCTCCCGGGCTCACTCTGATCCAGCTGTAGCCCCCTCTGAGCTGGGGGCTGGGGTCTTTCTGAACAGAAGTGATCTTCCCATTGTGTGATTTTTCTCCCCCCTAACTCAGGAAGGGAATATGTGAGTGTTGAATGAATGTGGTTTATGTATCAGGGAGGGCAGTGGGAAAAGGTGAGCTCTAAAATATTCAACACTGATTTAAGTACATCTCATTTTTCAGCGGTGCAGTAGGGGAAAATGAAACATTTTGTTAACATCTCCTTTCGTGGTTTGCCATTTGCAGACACTGCCTGCATGTGTCAAGCACCCACCTTTCAAAATCATACAGGGCGTCAGGAATATAATTACATAAAATTATCTCAGCGTCACATTTAGAGAGAGCATGGCTGCAGAGAAAATATTATGAGCCCAGGCGTGATGAGGAGCTATAAAGCTGTCCTTCAACAGGGGTGAGAGACCAGGAATGTCAGTTGCTCCGAGGAAACGGCACAATGAACTCTAGGTTGTTCCATCACACAGTCAATAAGAACTCCTCAAGGAAGTTTCAAGTCCCCAGAGAGCCCCCTCGGCTCTCCCTGCATAGCTGCGTCCTCACCTCCCCCTCGTCCGGCGAGGGGAGCAGGCACAGCTAAGGTTCCTCCAGTTTTTTTTCTCTTCACCTCCTAGAAAACTCAAGGACAGAGGTCTGTGCCCTCTCTCTCCCCTTCTCATCCCAAAGGAAGGATGGAGATTCCATCAGGGGCTTTGATTGGACGAGAGATGCTGGACTCCCCCAGGGCCGAATGAATCAATACTGCGCTGCTTTTGCAGTTAGTCTGAAGTCCCAGCCTGCCATCGCCACTTACGACCCAACCCCTGTCCTCGAGGCGTTGCAATTAATGCTGCCCTTCTCAAAGCTCAGGAAAAGATTCGTGCTGCTGGTTTGGAGTCCTACACCCCGAAATGTTAGCTTATGCCTGGCAGAATGACTGCCCCTGAACCTCTCTTGGTATCCTGCCTCTGGGTTTTACTGGAAGTTGTTAGAAGCAGCAGCTTTTGGTACATGGCCTTTGCATTACTTAACAACTCAAATTGAGGACATTGTCCACTATGTCACTGTGTCATGTGGTGCCCCCCACACGGCTCCTCAAGGGAGAGGTTGCTTGGTGCTGGTAGACAGTACCTCTCTCTGAAGGAATGGTATGTATTAAATATCTGCTTGTCCTATAGGAAGCTCAGAGCTGCACTGAGGAGTAGAACTCATGCCCTCTCGGGAAGGCCTATTTGTTCTGCCAAACCAGCATGCGGCCCTCAACAATTTCTTTCCTGCCCTTGGCTGTCTCATCTTGTAAAGGCAGAGCCTCGGGGAAGCTTGCCTGGCTCAGTGTTCAATTTGCCTGGCCTGTTCTGCTCGTTTTTTCTGGGGAATGACCTTGGAATCTGACCTTCTGCTTCAGGTTCACCTCTGGCTGCTCTCCCTTTCCCTCTGGACTTGACACTGTGAAGCTCTGTGGGTCCCAGACCGCCATCCTGGCCGCGATGCCGGCTCTGTGCATTCTGTGATGTCATCCTGCCCATCCCTTGTGCTGCTTTAGGGTGGCATTTTGTCCCACCCCCACCCCTTGCCCAGAGGAACAGGCCAGTTTTCTCCTCCTATTTTGGGTGCTGCTGTTCCATTTTCTAACTCTAAGCTGATTCCCTAGCCAAGCCGCCTCCAATCCAAACATCCAACAAGTTGCCCTTAATGGAGAACCAGGCATTTGGAAGGGTCTCTTCAACCCCATTCCCCCAACCCCCTCAGCTCTCTTTGTCCTTTTACGGTACTTGTCTCATCTCTTCCTGCAGTGCCACGGGAGTCTCCAGTACAGAAACCAGCAAAGATGCCAGAAGGCCCCGTCCCGGTGGGGCCTCAGCCTCCCAGCCCCCTCTGTGACGTCAGAAATGGCGTTGCTCCTGGTCACTTGTGCTCCTTTTTACTTCACCAAAGCTCTCAGTGATGGTTTGAGCCTTTTCCTGCTTCTCCCTTTATTTTTAGTTTGGTTTCATCTTACGCTGTACAGATGTTAACAGAAGAAAGAAAGGAAAGCAGGAAAGCAAATCCTCATACAGTATTATATTGACTGTATGTTCGTGTCTCTCCCAGATTCATATGTTGAACTCCTAACAGCGAATGTGATGGCATGAAGAGGTGGGGCCTTTGGCAGGTGATTAGGCCACGAGGATGGATCCTCCATGAAGGAATTAGTGCCCTTATGAAAGGGACCCCAGAGAGTCCTCGGTTTTTCCCACCATGTGAGGATACAAGGAGAAGTCGGCAATCTGCAGCCCATAAAGGAGCCCTCACCAGAACCCAGCCGTGCTGGAATTCTGATTTTGAACTTTTAGCCTCCAGAACTGTAAGAAACAAATTTCTGTTGTTTATAAGCCATCGGTGTATGATACTTCATTATAGCAACCTGAGATAAGACAGATGTTAAGAAATTCCCAGGTGTGCTAACAAGATCAGGCCAATGGGAATTGAGCCCAGTTGAGATCTCCGACAGAGCTTGCTAAAAAATTGCAAAGAGTTGGATGAATAAGATGTGATGCAGAGGCCTCTTGTTCTAAATAGATATACAGTGAGCCCTGGACCTGACCCGGACTACCCTGGCGTCCTCTGATCCAGAGGGGGTCGGAAGCCTCTTACGACACTTTTTGACTGTATATTTGCAGAGAATGTAGAGTGACAAGATGAATCAAAACTTGAGCTTTCAATGGCCAAGAGAAAATCTAGGAAAGAATTACGGTGAGTGGGAGACTTGGAAAACCCACAGTGGAAAGCAAATTTGAACCTGTTAAGGAAACACAGTTTAAGCCCAGATTGTGTTCCTTGAGAGAAACTGTTACAAGGAGCCTAGCACTAAAAAGGTCAGATTTGCTTGTACATGAATTTCTTGAGTGTGATTCAATTTTGGCACCTAGGTTTAAAGTTATTCCATTTTGCTTTGAATTTTATGTGTTACTAATTACCAAACTAAAACTATGGGCCTTAGAGAAAGGAAGAGGTGTTGATGGATATCCTCAGGGAACAAACAAATGTAAGTAATTCAGTCATCAGAATTATGAGCATCGCAAATCTGAGAATCAAAAATCCACAATGTTCCAAAATCTGAAACTTAATAGAGAACCCAGATATAAAATCATCTGCCTACAACCTACTGATCTTTGACAAAGCAGACAATACCATATTGGGGAAAGGAAGCCCTATTTGATAAATGGTGCTGGGAAAAATGGATAGCCACATGGAGAAGGCTGAAACAGGACCCCTGTCTCTCACCACTCACAAAAATTAATTCAAGATGGATAAAAGACTTACATGTAAAGCATGAAACCATAAAAATTCTAGAAGAAATTGTAGGAAAAATTCTTCCAGACATTGGCCTAGGCAAAGAATTTATGACTAAGACCCCAAAGGCAAATATAGCAAAAATAAAAATAAATAAATGGAACTTGATTAAATCAAAAGGCTTCTGCACTGCAAAGAAAATAATCAACAGAGTAAATAGACAACCTACAGAATGGGAGAAGATATTCTCAAACTGTATATCTGATAAAGGGCTAATATCCAAAATCTACAAAGAGCCCAAACAAATCAGCAAGAAAAAAACCAAACAACTCCATTAAAAAGTGGGCAAAAGACATGAACACAGTTTTTCAAAAGAAGATAGACAAATGGCCAACAAACATGAAAAAATGCTCAATGTCACTAATCACCAGGGAAATGAAAACTAAAACTATAATTAGATATCACATTACCCTAGTCAGAATGCCCAGTGTTAAAAGTCAAAAAACAGTGAATGCTGGCGAGGATGCAGAGAGAAAGGAACGCTTATACACTCTTGGTGGGACTGCAAATTAGTACAACCTCCATGGAAAACAGTATAGGGATTTCTCTAAGAAATAGATGTAGATTTGCCATTCAATCCAGCAATCCCACTACTGGGTTTCTACACAAAGGGCAAGAAATCATTTTACAAAAAAGACACCTGCACTCAAATGTTTATTGCAGCACAATTCACAATTCCAATAATGTGGAATCAACCTAAGTGCCCATCAATTCATGAGTGGATTAAGAAAATGTATACCATGTACATACGTATATCATGGAGTACTACTCAGCCATAAAAAATGAAATAATGTCTTTTGTAGCAACTTGGATGGAACTGGAGACCATCGTCCTACGTGAAGTATCTCAGAAATGGAAAAAAAACCCACCACGTGTTCTCTCTAATAACTCTAATAACTGGATGAAAGCTAATCAATGGGTACACACAGGCACAAAGAGAAGTGAAAGTCATAGGAAATTGAGAAGGGGTGAGGGGGGGGGTGCAAAACCCTTCCTATTGGGTTCAGTGAACACTGTTCAGGTGATATGCACACTAAAAGCCCCGACTTAAGTATTATAAAAGGTATCCATGCAACAAAAACATTTGTACCCCGTTATATTTTGAAATAAACAACAAACTAACAAACCCCCCAAATCTGAGACATTTTGAGTGCCAACATGACACTCAAAGGAAATGCTCATTGGGGCATTTCAGATTTTCAGATGTGCAACTGGTAAGTATATATAAAGCAAATATTCCAAAATTCAAAAAAATCACTCTGAAATCTGAAACACTTCTGGTCTCTAGCATTTCGGATAAGAATACTCAACCTGTACTGTATTTCCAAAATAAGAAGGATGGTCATTGCCTTCCACTTGCTGTGGAGACTTGAGCAATCCTATAATAGTGGAGATTATGAAGGGAAAATTCAGGAACAAAAGCATAAAGAAAGAGACAGGATATTCACTTGCCACGTTTTACAAGGGAGCAGGGGAGTGGGAGGCAGTGGGAAAAGTCCACCTTTTATTATGACCATACTCTGGCAATTCTAAGTGATGTCAATGATAACATCTTCTTCCCTGCCAGGAAACTCACTCCCCCTACCACCCCCTCCTCCCCTACATTAGTAGGCTACTCCAAGGTAGTCCAGCTTTAAAACTGGCTTGCCACATAAAATGATACAATAGATGGTAAAAGAAAATGCCTCAAGGCTACCAAGGCTACAATCAATCTATTTACAGTGGAAAATGTCATCATCTTTTCCCATGATTATTGTGTCTGAGACAACTGCTGGTCATCACATATATGTAGACATCAGGATGATAAAACTTAAAGGTAGTCTCAGTAACTGACAGGCAAGACTTTACAGTTTTATCTGTATTGTGACTAGTGCTAGACAGAATGACTCTTTATTTTGTTTATCTCAGGATGAAATTCCGCTCTCTCAGTCATTATTTTTTCCTTGACTGATTTTAGAGTGGGAGGCCCAATCAAAGGTGACATGGTAAGTTGATCAGTTTCCTTTCTACCTGGGGCCATAACTCAAAGTAGGCAAATGAATTCCTATTTGATTTCAGAAGCCCTGGATTAAATTTCTTGAATGATCATGAACAGTCTGTTGGGATTTGGTGCTTAACATCTTTTCTTTTTTAAAGTGTATTTATTTTTAATCTGTAAAGTGCAAACTCTGCTAATGACCAGCTTTTCTAAGATGCCAATAGGATAGCGGAGGCAGAGTCATAAAATACTTGGTAGCTCTTTGGTGAATAGCAACACTAGCAGATATTTATTTTAGAAAGAAAGCTGCATTATGCTCAGCACGGTAAAGTCCTTGGCCATCTTTACAAATGTATACATGGTGGGGGAGGGCAGGGCTAAGAGTGAAATTTACTCCAATTGAGCTGTCTTGGGAGCTGAGGGCAGCTGCAGGTATATTTAAACTGTCACAGTAGAAATGGCTTTGTCAGCCAAGTGGCATTTTCTTTCCTCTGTTGGAGAGGTGTGGCACAGACAAAGAAAAAGAACATCACCTGTTCAAGCTGGCATTTCCTGAAGGGAGGAAAAATCACTGCCTCTGTTTAGTTCATAACCAGTAGGAGAATGAGTCAGCAAGAGACAGGAAGAGGCTTTGGAGGTGAGCAGTCATCTTTCACTGCCAGATTGGAGCTGTCAGAGTGGAGGACAGATAGGTCTCCTGCATACCCTCAAGTGACAGGGATCCTCAACTGCAATTTGCTCTGCCACGAGGATGTGAAGTTGTGAATTTCAGTAACATGAAAAATGAGGATATTTGTGATGCAATGGTCAGCTCCGATACAGTGCTGAAATGAGAGATTTTCAGGTGACTGTTAAGGGCTGCAAATTTAGTAAGTGAGTCTATGGGGTTTTTATTTCTGATAGAAGGAGATCGCTTTTCTCCTTGCCAATAAGCTGCATTTTTAGCATATCATCTTTGAAGGAACTCAAAGGACTCCACAGGCCTGACCGACTGGGCTGGGAGGCGGGTTGGACGTCGGAAGTGAAGGAGCCGTTTCATGCACGTTGATGGTGGTGGCGTGGGGGATGCCTGCTAAGAGTTATTGAGTCCTCAGTACTTTACGAGCTTTCTTTCACTCAATCCTTACATAAACCCATGGTCTAGTTATTCCTATCCTACATTCAAGGAAACAAAGGCTGAGAGGTTATTTAATTTCCTTGAGGTTATGCAGCTATCTGAGTTGGAATAGGAACACAGTTGGAACTCCTGGGCTCTGGACAGTAGCACATTGTACCCACATGGGGTTGGTTTCCAGAAGGTCAAGCTGCCCAGGCACAGGGGGTTACCCAGGGAGGTAGATCTGGGAGTACACGATCCCTCCACCTACTCTAGAAAAGGCTAAACTTTCAAGTCAAAAATCTCCTTTGCCTAACTTTGGGCACAAGCTAAGCGATTGCTATAGTTCCTGAAAACTGGATTGAAATTCCAGGTCTTTCAGAAGAGGACATGGTGGCAGCTAGACATTAAATGCAGGATGCTGTATTATCAGATGCTCATGTAGGCAGGTCCCAGGGCACTGTTCCTCTGTCTCCACTCTCCCTCTCACTCACTGTGTCCATGCATCTTCCCTTGTGGGGTGCCCACTAACTTCCTTGCATCAAAACGGGATCTTCAAGTTTATTTTAAAAAATGGCAGCTCTGGGAGGACGGATCGTTTGAGCTCAGGAGTTCGAGACCAGCCTGAGCAAGAGCGAGACTCTGTCTCTACTAAAACAATAGAAAGAAATTAGCTGGAAAACTAAAAAAAAGAAAACTATATATATATATAATTAGCCAGGCATGGTGGCACATGCCTGTAGTCCCAGCTACTCGGGAGGTTGAGGCAGTAGGATTACTTGAGCCCAGGAGTCTGAGGTTGCTGTGAGCTAGGCTGACGCCATGGCACTCTAGCCTGGGCAACAGAGCGAGACTCTGTCTCAAAAAAAAAAAAAAAAAATAATGGGAGAAAATTACAAAATCAGAAATTCCTTGAATGGTTGATGGGAATTGCCAAGGAAGGAGAAACACCTTGGAGGTTTCTGCAAAGTTGATATAGAATTTTTGCTTTTTTGCTGCATTTGTTGTTGCTGTGAGGATAAGAAAGGGCCAATGAGGCTCTGCTTCCAAGCTTGTTAGTTGCCCAGTGGAATGCTGGCCGGTATTGGGTCAAGGATAAAGCTCTTATCTCTGTATCCTCCATAGAGTTAATGACTCCTCTGTTGTGCTGACGATTATATTCCCAGCACCTACACAGCTCCTGGCACATAGCAAGACTCAGTAAAAGCCTGATGATTGGCTAACGAAGCTCAGTCTTGGATCATTATAGAACTCCATCTATTAAGCTTTAATGGGCATAGAGAGGACCTGTGGATTGTGTTTAAATGCAGATTCTGATTAGTTAGGTCTAGAGTGGAGCCTGGGATTCTGCATCTATAACTAGCTCCCGGTCAGTGTTGATTTTGCTTCTCTAGAACCACACACTGCGTAGCAAGGGGACAGGGGAATGGCAATCTTTCCGGGGGCTGGCTATGCACTAGGCACAGCATTTAGGAGGATGACACATTATTTCGTATAAACATCACAAGATTTGCTAGGTGGATATGGTAGCCCCATTTCCAGGTCTGGAAAGGGGAGTTTAGAAATGTTCAGAGACTTGCCTACAGTCCCAGAGATAATGAATGACAGGGCTAGAGATCACTCTGAAAAATAAGAAAGTCCCATGTGAATATTAGACATTATTATATTTTTAATAACTTTATCTATATTTAGGCTTGATGATGATCAAAGATCACTTGGTGGTGCATTTGTTTACACCAGGAATTCGCTAATGAATTTTTCACTCTGCATTTTAATGAGAGGTTATTTATCAAAATGTCTCCTGCCATGATGGAAGTGTGTATCACCTAGGCAGAAAATCTGGTTAAGGGAGATCGGTCTTGTTGAAAAGATGTTCAGAATTGAACTACTAGAGTCTGTGATGCAAAGCGTGTCAGCTAATGTAATATTCGATAATTCATGATGGCCATCTGCTGCATCCCAGATGCCTGAGCTGGGGGGCTGGAGGGGGGGACAGAGATGATGAACTCCGAATGAGAAACCGTCCGTTCTTCACCTGCATCATAAAGCTTTTCATTAGCTTCATTGCAGCTGGCAATCAACAGGGGCTTTCCTCTTGCATAAAAATTGCTTAGCAATGAAAATGAACCTGGAAAGGATTACAGTCAACAAAAAATAATTTTTCAGAGCCAAGATGGAAAGGATAAATCAGTAGCTCTGGTAATCATGCGTGTTTTTGTGTGGCCTCTGAGCAGTGACTCCAGTGTTTGGACAGAAGATAGAAAACAAACTCGGTAACATTCTTTTCAGAAATCTGGGACATGGGTTTTTTACTTTGTCTTAAGGCAAGTCCTTAGCGCCCCCCTCAGGGATTGGGATTGGATTTATCCTGTATAGGGTCTGGGAAACTGCACTGCTGCTGAGTCCCTGGGTGATTCAGTGCCACTGTGAGAGGCACCGCCTTGTCCCTCATTTCTGTCACATCCTTCTCTAGCCCATAGGAAAAGCAGGGCGTTGCTAACCTGGCAAGAACAGGTTAGCGACTCCATTAGCCTGCAGGTTCCCAGCCAGAATCTCTTTCCAACTGGTCACTGGCTGTATCGCTGCGGAGATTCTAAAATGACAGTGAAGCAGGTAATGCTGAGCCCCAGCCAGGTCGGAGAGTCACACTTTCCCGTTTTTCCACCCTGAGAGCGATCAGTGTGTCAGAGCGGGCAGGAGTAACCCTGCCCAGCCTGCCACCTGCTGGCTCATGGACCCGGTGCCCAGGCAGGCTCTGAACGGTAGCTGCTGCTTTGTCATCTGTCAATACCTCTAAACCAGGACACTTACTTTCTTGGAAGGTAAAATCCATGTAGAAAAGATCGAAGTTTGTAAATTTCTCGCTGGCTGCAATTTTTTTCAGTGTACTGGAAAGTTGTTCTGCTCTCTGAATGCAAGGGAGACAGAGAATTCCATGAAACCCTGACTTTGACTTTACTGAGATAATTCAGGCAGAACAAAGAAATCAATCAATCAGTCAATCAATCAATCATTCTTCCTTCTTCCCCATCCCACTCCACTTTCTTTCTTTTCTTTTTTTTGAGACAGAGTCTCACTTTGTTGCCCAGGCTAGAGTGAGTGCCATGGTGTCAGCCTAGCTCACAGCAACCTCAAACTCCTGGGCTCAAGTGATCCTCCTGCCTCAGCCTCCTGAGTAGCTGGGACTACAGGCATGGGCCACTGGCTAATTTTATATATATATGTTAGTTGGCCAATTAATTTCTTTCTCTTTATAGTAGAGACAGGGTCTCGCTCTTGCTCAGGCTGGTTTCGAACTCCTGACCTTGAGCAATCCACCCGCCTCGACTTCCCAGAATGCTAGGATTACAGGCTGAGCCACCGCGCCCCGGCCCCCATTCCACTTTTATTTCTCCAAGCCATCAGTAGAGACCAGCTCTGCACATTAAGTTCTATTCATTTTTTCATATGTTTATTGCCATTTATCTATCTTTTTTTTTTTTTGAAAAGCTTCTGTTCATGTCTTTTGCCCACTTTTTAATGGGGTTGTTTGTTTTTCTTGCTGATTTGCTTGAGTTCTTTGTAGATTCTGGATATTAGCCCTTTATTGGATATATATCTTGTGAATATTTGCTCCCATTCATTCTGTAGATTGTCTATTTGCTCTGATGATTACTTCCATAGCCGTGCAGAGCTTTTTAGTTTAATCAAATCCCATTTGTTTATGTTGTTGCTGTTTAGCTGTGACTCAAGCATTGCAACAGCCAGCCATGTAACCAAAAACATTTGCACCCCCTTAATACTTTGAAATAAATAAAAAAATTCGATTCATGCACAAATGGCCAATGAATATATGACAAATGTTAAAGTTCATTAGGGATCAAAATAGTGAAAATTAAAGTAATAAGTACTTTTCTACCCTTGGGATTGGCAAAGATATCAGATGTTGTTATGGGTAGGTGAATGAGAATGTGATTAGTTTAACCTTACCAGAGAGCAATTTGGTAATATGGATCAAAGCTTTAAACATGGACATACCTTTTGACCCAGTAATTTTTCTAAGAATTTGTCACGGAAATAGAGATGTACACAAAGACATATGGCTTCTCCATCACAATATTATCTATCGTAGTGAAAAATTGAGAACTTATATGTCCAACACCAAAGGATGAAATAAATCATATGCTCAGAATGTGTATGCTTTAAAATGGTCACAATGTGATGATGTGGAGAAACAATTTATGAACATTGAAAGGCATAAAAGAGTATGTTATAGTCTCATACCATATCGGCAAACACGAACCGTACTTACCTATGGGAGTGTTAATGGAAAGACATACAAACATACTGACTTTGGCTGGTGGAATTCTGGGTGATTTTTATTATTGTTCTTTGTGCTTTTTTTGTGTTCTCCAAGTTTTTTAAAAAAATTTAAATATAGTTTTGTAAAAAAAAATTCAGTAAATCTTTTACAAAGAGATTATTCACCATCCATGAAAGACATGCAAACCATTTGGCTTGAGCAATGGATTCCCTCAGAGAAGAGAGGAAAGTCCTTACTTATCTCAGAAGAGCTCCAGACACAGGGCTAACCTCGCTCAGTTCTCTCCACCAGAACAACTATGCTTAGGACCAGCTTATAAGTTGTGTGTACACACATGTGCACGCATGAGAGAGACACGCACACACAGATAGGGACAGTGACTGAGAGACACAGTAAAAGGGACAGACCCACAGAGAGGCAGAAGAGACGGGGCATGCCAGGTTCTCTGGGCTCCTCAAGCACCCTGGCAGTTTGGTCTTGTTATTCAGCAGCTTGGAGAGCATCCCATTCCCAGGGAAAACCCCGCAGCAAACACAGGGGAAGGAACGATCAAAGGTGGTAATAAAAGGCCTGTGACAGTCATACCTTGGAAGTGAGGGTCCGGAGCGTCTTGTTGGAAGACATCCAGCCGTGGCAGGGGCTGACCTGAGAGCAGGAAATCACTCTGATTAAAGAGGAACAGTGAGGGGCACCTGGGCCTTGGGGCAAGTCAGTGAGTGCTCACCTGAAGGCAGTTCAGGAAGGAGTACATGTGTGCATAGGTCACGTCTTCATTTAGCTGGCCTGGAAGACAGAGGGGTCTGGTATGTCACGTGCACTTAGCTACGGCAACATTTGGAGACACTGGGGGTGGCCCTGCCTTCCTTGCAGGAGGTTGCCACTTCCAGGGGACTGCCTTGATTTTTCCTTCAGCACTGCTCTCGAGAATGCCTGTGCTGCCCTTCTTTCTGAGCTCCTAGAAATTCACACTCAGAGTTGGGGAGGGGCCCTAAGGAGTTTAGTCCCACGTAGAGTTCCTGGCATGGGCTAGGACAGGGCTGGAGGAGCTGGCTTCACCTGGACTCCAGGGGAAAGGAATACAAGTATCCCGTGGCTCAACATGGACCAGAATGCCTTGAACAAAGCGCTGTGCAGAGCAAGGACTCTCTCCTGGCAATGGTCTGAAATGCCAAGTTCCCATGGAGCACAGGGAGCATTAAGGTGGCAGTGCACCAAATCCTCCTTTCCAAGTTTATGAAACACCCAGATCTGATCCAATTGTCCCACGCTGAGGACCTGGCAGGACTTTCTAAGTATCTGAAGTTCTGCAGTGCCCTGAAGTTTGGGGAATTGATGGCTTCCAGAACTGCTTGGGTGGCCCAGAGGATGGGGGAGGCTGGCACATCACACATCATTATCCCTTCACGGCACTGGATTAGGGGCTGCTCAGTGGATGTCTTATCTGAGCCCTAATCAGTGGCTGTGTCCTACACTCAGTTTTGGTGCAGCTTCTAGAGGCACAGAAGAATGAAGAGGGGTTCCATCCAGTCTTTCCAAATATCAGCTGTAGATCCTGGTTCTGCGGGATTATTTCTTCTCTGTCCCAACATTCCTCTCCTGCCCTCCTCCTCCTGCACATCCACCCCCAGAGGCAATTCAGCTCTCACGCTGTGCCTGACACACACAGTCCAGGTCTCCCCAAATCTCAGAGGGGAATGACTGACGCTGTGTCCATTAACACTTCTCTCACTCTAAAAAAATAAAGGAAGATAACAGGACCTGTCTCAGAGCGCAGAGAGAGATTGAAGGTGACGGGACACAGTCTTATTTTTCACTTATACCTCCGATCACTTAGACCAAAAGATAGATTCAATTTTCTTGTCATAGAGGAAAAATACATTTTCTCTCTGTGTGGGTGAGTAAATTACAGAACTGGGAAGCCACAGGCTTATTACTGCCGTTGAAGTCGCAGTGACCCGCCAGGCTGTGGTCTGCACAGGCCTCTGCGTCTTGGCTCTGTAGCTGAATCCCCAGCCCCTGGCTGGCTCTGTCCTTGCTTTCAAGTTTTGGGCCCAACCCGGGGCCAGAGCACCGTCTTTCCCCAAGTTCCTGCTTCTACCCACTGAGGCTTCGGTCCCTCTTTTTTTGTGTGTGTGCTTTTTGTAATTCGCCCCCTTCCTGAATGTGTTTCTGCTCCTCTCAGCCCACTGCAGCGACTGACACCATCAACCTCCACTCCCCAGCCTGGCTCCTCCCCCACGTGCCCGGATGACTTGGCTCCTTCTCGCGGGAGGACAGCCACTGAGCCACCAAGTCACAGCCTCCCCTCTTACCACCCTCTGTGAGGTTCTGGCCTTTCCCTTGGTGCCTGGCAGCCACCGTACCTCATTGCTGGGCCTGGGCCTCATGATGGAACTGGGGTAGTGTGCTAGGGCCCTGCCACCCTGCTGGGCCCGACATGTCCCCTCACCCTGAGGGGCAGCCTTTCTCTCTCTACCCTGCTTAGTGGCTGCAGTTTCTTCAACCTGAAAGGAGGTGGCTCCTCGTGCCTGACCGTGAGCAACACTCCTGCACCCTCCCCTCCCACCTTCCAGCCTGCGTCGCCGTGCTGTCCCGAGGGGTTGGGAAACTGGGAGCTTAACAGGAGGCTGCTCCTCAGGGTGAAGCCATCTCAGCCTTTGTCCATCCTGCCTCACTCCCTCTCCCTGCTGGGTTCCTGCGAGGTCCAGCACAGCTCAGGAGGAGACCATGAGGTGCACCCTCCTTCCAGACCTTCTCCAGTCCCTTCCCCTGTTCTCTGCCATTCTGACACTGGCTGCAGTCGGACCCGGTTGGTAAAGGGAAAGTCGTTAGTGTGAGGCGCTAGGTCTGCTGAGCAGGATGAAGGCACACCAGGTGTGGTTAGATGGTAACTGAAACAGGTGTAGCGAGGTGGTCTCCCTTCTCTCTCGTATTTCTGCCTGTTGGAGGGAGGGGACTCCGCTCACGTGCAAGATTGTTAGCAGTGCCTATGATGGGCTTATAGGAAGGGAAGTGGGAAAGTGGTTCTTGCGCCTTCTTCCCTTATTGGCTCTATCAGTTGGTCACTCACTCTTTCTTTTTCAGGCATTACCTCTTATCCTTAATTGTTTTGATGTAATTTTTGCACATCGAGGAGCCCTGGCATAAAGACTGATCCCATCTCTATGGGGTCCATGCAAAGAGGTGTGTCTGTGACTACCTGGTCAGAACATCGATCTGGTTAAGAACCTGAGCAAGAATGTGCAGGGGCAGGGCAAGAGGACTGTCCCATAGTAGCCAGGAATTGTCAAGGGCTGAGGAGCAATCTGTGTGTGTGTGTGTGCATGTGTGTGTGTGCGCATGTGTGTGTGTGCATGTATGTGTGCATGTGTGTGCATGTGTGTGTGCATGTATGTGTGTGTGTGTGCATGTGTGTGTGGTTGGGGGAGTATGGGTTGGCCTAGTGGATGCCATGGGCTCCCTCTGCAGATTCAAGGTCATATTCTTCCCCAGCTGGCTGGAGTGACAGTGTGTGTCTCAGTCATCTACAAATGCTTTAGGGCAGGGTCTTTGGTCTTGATTCAATGCTGGGAACACAATTGAAATCTTAGGTACCCTAAAAGCTTAGCACCAACAAAAAATCAGTCACATGTCCATGAAATACCATCTGAATGTATTAAAACCACACTAATGAAGATGGGGAGAAAGCCAGTAATAAAATATAAACTACAAGGTATTTTAAAAAGACGTTTGGTTTCAAGTTTAAGAGTAATTTTGGGCAAAAGTGAGTTGTTGTTGCTGTTGTTGTTTTGTGGCAGGGGTCCTTCAGGGAGGACCTACTTGCAGACCCATTTGTAGTCAGCAATCTCTGATTCCCTGACCACAGTCTACCCTTTGGACCGCTCCAAGAATGCCTACGGCTTGCATCATTGTCATGGCCACTAGTCAGGCTCCGTGCGCTGTTTTCTCTTCTGTGGAGCTGTCTTTTTCTCTTTCCTATGAGGACAGGGACTCCCTTTTATATCATCTTTCCCCACAAGCAGAGACCAGGCCTTCTAGACGTACTCCTGGAACTCCTGCCTTCCTCAAAGACCACAGCTGAGAAGACTCACGACTGGCCGAGCTTGACTTTTCCCAAAAGATCTACATAAGCAGAACCCTAATGCGCGAGGCTTGCTCTCTGATAATCCCTCACAAAGACAATACACTCTCCCCAGGAATTTTAAGGACTAGCAGAGATCGTGGGGTGTCCCAGCTCTTGGCAGCCGGTCCCTGACTGGGTAGTGACTCACAAACACAGCCGAAGAGCAGAGATGGGGTGGGGGGTTCATCACTCCCTCCTCCCTGGCAGGAATGAGACGGGCACCTGTGCTCAGTTCTGGGCCTGCCTTACCTGCTGGTTTCATGCTGTGGCATTGAACCTTCCCTTTGCAGAATGGGCAGGCCGACTTCCTGCCTGTCCTGCCGAGGGGCAAAGGAGGTGGCAGAGAATGTATCACTGACCAGGAGCTTCACCTCAACCCCTCTGCTCCCCGAACTCTTTACTAGTCCTTAAGAGGTGGCCACAGACTGGAGATTATCATCACCATGCGTCTAGGCTCAAATACAGAAATAAATGGAACTCCCCCCTGTCCCCTGCTGTTTTTGGGCTTGCATAACCCTCAGCCCAGAGCCTGGGAATCAGACTCGAGTGTTTGACTGTTGACTAAGATGCGATCTACTCTAACTTGGACAGAGCAACAGGACCCTGGAGGCTGGTCCAGCATTGACCTCGCTTCATGTCTGCTGCAATGAAGGTGAAGGATGGGGTCTGCAGTGGGAGCAGCAGAAGAGAGACAGCGCCAGGCAGCAGCCCTCTCTGCGAGTCTCTCCTGCGTGAGCCGTGAGCCCGGCCGACCGAGGAACGGGGAAGCTGCAAAAATCCCTCCTACTTCCCCAGTCTTTCTAGGAAGGACCCTGATGCTTTGTTGAGAAATTTATAATTTATTTCCCATGGCAACCAGGCAGCAGGGATAATTTGGGATGTGAATAATTACTTTAAAAACATTAAATGAATTTTAGATGGTTTCAACTTTCTCCCCGATTAGATTTTTTTTTCAAAACCAGGGTTGTTTATATAGAACAATCTTGTTCCACCTTTGCCTTCTTCCTCTTTTGTGCTGTTAAATGCTAGTATGTGATTCGTGGTCAGGAAGAGGCCAGTTGGGGAGGACAAGGCAAAGCCTAGAGTAGAGTTTCTCAGTCTTGGCACTACTGGCGTTCTCGGTTGTGGGGCTGTCCTGCACACCGTAGAGTGTTTAGCGACATCTCTGGCCTCTCCCACTAGATGCCAGCTGCACCATCCCCATCCCAGGTGTGATAACAGGGCATAGGGGTGTGGGCTGCCCTCATCTGAGAACCACTGACCTACAGAATCCCGAAAAGTAGATAATGAGTCCCCCAAACACCTTCTTTTCTCCCCTCGCTCCTTTCCAAATCGCATGGAGTCATTATTATACACCACGGTCAAATCAAGAGAATTGCATGGCATCTCCGAAAGAATTTATGGAGTCAGCATAACCAGAGTTCACGAAAAGAGAATGGGATTTGAAATCAGAAAACTCAAAGTCAAGGCCCTGTTGGTGTGGTGAAGTAAATTGGGAGCACACTGCCCCTGCCCCCAACGTCCCCCAGGCGTTTCTTAGCATGGGAAATTTCTTAGCAATCTGGAAGAATCTGTTAGGACAGATGTATCCAATGGCTCAAAGAGACATTCTTAGCCCAAGTTGTCTTTTATGCTTGCAAGGCAGCTCAGAATGGAGCGAAGTTCCTCTTGTGTGTGATTATATTATGAATATTGTTTCTCAGGGACACAGTCCAAGCTGCGTGAACAGGAAGAATATGCTTTCCTCAGGCGAGGCTGGACGGTGTTTTGCTTGGATAATAATATTTGTGATACACTTTAGTAACTCAAGGGGACAATGACTTCAGTCTCATCGATGAGAAGCCTGGAACCTGAGTATCCACCGTTATCCCCCCAGCAAAGAGACCAGAGCCCTCTGAGAGCTGGGTGAAGGGCCCCTACTCTTTTCCCATGTGGGGAGCGGTGGATTTTCTGAGGAGAAGCTGAAGCAGGGACGGCCGGAGGAGGACAAAAGAAATTTGAAAAGATACTCACCAGGTTATTGATGCAAGGGAAAGCTCCTGATGGCCTGGAGTATGGCATCTGGCTCTCTGCCCACGCCCTCAAAAGGCACTAAGGACTGAATTTCAGGTCCTCCTCTTTGAATTGCTCGCCTGACTCCAAAGAAGGTGCTTGGACCCCCCAGCACATTTTGGCTTGGGTTGGTCTCAGGAGGTGTGTGTGTGTGGGTAATTCCAGGAATGGGGCAGCCCCTTTTTCATGACTGACTGGCACAGGTGCTGTCAATATGGGGCTGAGGGAAGGTTACCCAGGCCTCTCCTGATAGAGGCTCGTCAGCGAGGCCTGAGGCTGGCACTCTCTGTTCCTCTTTTCTGCCTAATTTTCCTCCTGTGACACTTAGCACCCTCTGACATACTTTGAGTCTCTCTCCCACCAGAATATAGATGTTACGTGGGCAGGAATTTAGGACTATTGTGTTCACTGCTCGTTTCCCCATGCCTACAACTGTGCCTGGCACATAGTAGGTGCTTCATAAATACAATCCCCCCTGAAATACAGGAAGGAGAGACCTGCTACACACAGCTTGAACACACAATGAGTGATGCAACATTTGGCAAGCGACCTAACCTTTCTGAGCCTTAGCTTTTTCATCTATGAAATGGAATTGCCGTAGTTGATGAAACCATCCATCTCACAGAGTAGTTATAAGGATCAGCCCACAGTCCTTTCTAAGGTGAATTACTGCCACTTTGACATTGTTTGTACAGTATCTGGAATGTTAGAGCTGCCATTGTAAGTTTCTGGGGACTGTTAAAGCCTTTTAGAGCAAGGAACCCCAAGACCAGTGTACAAACTGAAAGCAAGCAGGCTGGAAGACTGTGTTCTAGAGAATTCTCACTGGCTGGCAGGAGGCTACTCACCACTGAGGTTGGGAGAAACCCCTTCCTTTGATGCTTTCCTGTTTGGGTTTCCTTAGCTCATTCTGCAATTTACCTTTTACTAAAGGAGTTCCTGATTTAAACTCTTATCTTTCAATTTGTCCTAATTCTTAATTAAATACTTCTGCCCTTTCTGGTTTTGGATCTGATTCTGCCATCCTCTGAGTAACGACCTTCAGATACTACACCTGATACATCCCTTCACCAGCTCTGACCTATGTCCTGTGATAGCATTTTAGGCATATTTCTATATGGTTTGAACTGTAAATACATTGAGCTATATACAGTGACATTGTTAAAGAATAAAATATTTTCAAACTGATACCGAGAGGATGATATCTGTTGTGCAAATTATCCCAGAGAAAGGTTCCATCTGGCAAGCCGTAAAAAACAACATGGCTGCCATTGGGCAGGTGGGTGTTGAGGTATTTCAGAGTCTGCATGACATTGGAGTACAATTTCTCAGGAGTGGTCATGGCCGGAACTGTGTCAGCCTTCCTGTTGGTGGAAGAGACAGAAAATATCTCTGTTGATTGTAAAGGCAGCTGCATGCAGCTGTATGCCAATATAGGATACACCCCACTCCCCACACGTGTACACAGACGGTAACCAGTAGGATGTTAGCTGTAGCTAGTGTACACACTTCTGCACTGGGTAATGAGTTGCTTGGACTTTCCTAAGGGGGGAAAATATTAATAGATGTCTGATTTTACAAAACCTCAGCATGTAAAACTCTATGCTAAATTCATGTTTTCATTGTTACGAAAACAAATGGTACTACTTTTCGAATAAAAATCTCTCTAACCCGCATAAAAAGCACCCACAGGGATTTGAGACTACATTGCCCGCCTACTGGGGGCAGGGCTGGGATAGGGGCTTCAGCATGATCTGTATATATGCACAGAAGCAGCGCTTCCTAGGATTCCAGTTTGTAAAGGGAATTTAGGCTGCCTTGTGGGTTTATGCAGATCAAGAGAACACACCCAGAGTAACCAGGTTTTATATTTACTGCATGTTTGAAGTGTGACAGCAAGGGTGAAGTGAAAGGCAAGTTGTGAGTCTATATCCCATCTTTTGTCATAGGCAAAGCTCACACATACTGCCTCTTAACTTTTGCCTTGCCACATTCTTCTTCTTTATTTTCTGTTGATCCAACAGCACTCTGGCACAAAGCAATTATGCTGAGCTAATACTCTCCAACCACATGAAGGCAAGATGAATCAAGATGGAGCAAAGTTTCCCAAACTCCCCATTGAATGGTTATTTTTTTGGTTAGAGACACAATCCTGATGATAAAGAATCTGAGCTAATCTGTACCTATGAAGGGGCACCCACCAATTAAGCAAGCATAATCCAATTGGCTAATTGCTAAGTGAAGTCCAAATGGGAGCCTTGGTGTTGCTGGTGTAACATTCTCCAGTCATCTTTGTTCCATCTTGCATGGCTACATTGTTTGCACATGTGCATTGCCAGTTAAATCCTTTAATGTGCATAGCAATATCAACCAATTCTTAAGTCAGGCAAAGGCCAAGGGATCTATGTGACAGGTGGTGGGTCACCCTTTCCAGATGCCATAAGAAGGTGATTTCTAACTTCTTTTTTTTTTCTTTCTTTTTTATTTGAGGATATTATGGGAGTACAAACATTTTGGTTACATGTTATGCCTTTGCCACACCCAAACCATGGTTTGAGGCATGCCCTTTCCACCCAAACCATAGTTTGAGGCGTGCCCTTTCCCCTCTACAATGATCACTGCATCCATTAGTTGTGAGTTTACCCATCCTCAACTCCACAACCCCCAAAGAATGCTTTCTAACTTCTGTTCCTGCCAAATTCTCAATGCCATTTTGACCTGTGTACTCTTTCTCCTCTGTTGAGTTTTGGGAGGACTTAGTGTTAGTATTTTGGGGACCAAAGAACCCTAGTGGTTTGAGAAACTATCTCCTAGGTCTCTCTAGTGTCTGCCAAAGGTTGAATGGGCTGAGGTGAAGGCATTTTATGCTTTTAAACCCAGGTGTCTGGGGCACCTGCCTCCCTGGGTTTGCCTGGCTGCCCCAGGGCCCTGGCACCCCTCCTCACACACTGGCGAGCTCACCCCAGACACTCGGCTGGGTGGGTGACGGGTTGGTGGGTGAGTACCTAGCTAACAGAGAAGAAATGTGAAAACCAGCCTGGGGACTCGGCGGTCACACCAGGGAAAATAATGAGAGAGCAGTCGGAGCCCACTGACACCACGCGCCTGCACCTGTCAGGCACACACGGCTGGGCTCGGAACAGATGAAGAACCTTGCGCCCGAGGGTGGCTCCAAAGCCTGTCCCGTCCTAATGAATTGTGTCTGATCATGCAAAATAAGCTCTTTACTTGGGTGCAGGGCTGGCCAGGATCATTTCATTACCCTGGCAGGTGGGCCAGCCAGATTTTACCTGGTTGATGCCAGAGAGAGGTGCCCCTCTCATGGAAGAAGGGGAACAGCTTTTTGCAGGAAAGTGAGTTTCCCAGAACCAGAGCTAAAGCCCAGAGACCTGCTGTGATTGAGTGCTCAGGCCTCAGTCACAGTTAGCGTTCATGATTTTGAAACCTCCAGGTAAGAGGGTTAAGGTCCTTCTCTTCATGTCAGTTAGTTGCAGTCACTGGGCTCCCATCCATCCTCTCGAAGAGGCATCTTGACACAGACTGAGAATGGGGTGGGGACTCCCATATGAGTCCATTCATAAGGACACATTAGAAGTCCCTTAAAAGTGGGTGGGTCTAGGGACATGCTGGCTGGATGGAAATTCCTTAGCATTCCCTTTGCCACCCGTGCCTCTGACTGAGGAGGCTGGGAGAGAGGATTCCTCTGGGCAGCAGGAGTTCTGTCCATTTGCTCCCCTGCTGGTGTTTCTACCACCCGAATTGGGTAGCATGCATTGTTTCCCTCTGGTCCAGGCTCCTTGGGGCCTGTGACCTGTTGGAACCTTGGCTGGCTTCCTCTTAATGTCATGCTGATCGGCTGCTTCGGTGTAACCATTGCAGGACAAGAAGGACTAGGGACAGGGAGGCAGCCACAGACAACATGTATGGGTGGCCTTGGCTCTCTCCATTAGATGAAAAACACTGAATTTATAATTTCTGTTATCTATTGTAAAAAATGGAACCATGCCAATTAATGTGGCCAGTGTTAGATGCTTGTACAATTCCATCACATTTCCAGCAGTTCCAATGCTCTTTTCAAGAATGTCACAGTGGGATGTTGGGGAAATGTTGTCCTTGGCCTTTATGATTTAATGTCCCGAGGCTATTCCCGTTTCCCACCATTGCCCCGATACCTAAAGGTTCTGCTGCCCTAGCTCACCCACATCTGCTGTTTCCATGAATTTTTTTCCTTCTATGTCACTCACATTGTATAGCTTTTGAGGGCAATGATAGGAAAAGCCTAAGGACACTGAGTTAGCTTAAATAACATTGATTAGGGTTACAGTGAGACAGGTTCTCTGCATACCTTTCTTCTTGAATTCCTGATGCTAAAAGCTATCTGTTGACCGTGACCTTCTTTCATGTAACAAGTATTTATTGAGTAACTACTTGAGTTTAGAGACGTGAGAAAGAAGCACATAAATGCATGATTTCAGTAAGAGCTAGCATCATCATAAAAAAGAAAAAGGAAAGAGAAAAGTCAAGCAGATATCCTAAAACTTGTTCCAGGACAGACTTATGTAACTCCTTGCTGGCTTGAGCTTTTTATAAAATCTCTTTGCTCATTTTGGGATTTCTACTCCACCTTGACATTCTGGCAGATGGGGAGGTATAGTTGCCATCTGTCTTTATTTTTTTAACCTCTCCACAGGACATTGCAAAGTGGGCACCACAGGGACATCCCACGCAGCCAGCTCTGTTCTTTCACCCAAATGCTTGCTGCTTCTCTGCCCAGTTCCCTGGCAGGGGAGAGGCTGGCACAGGTCTCTGGCTGACATGTGCCTGCCCTTTGGCTCTTTTGGAAAAGGAAAAGCAGGACAGGGCTGGAAGGCCTCTGGGTAAGCAGGTTGTGCTGGAAAAAGACAGTTTCAGGGATTTGGGCTTTAGGAGTCAGAGCCTCTTTCTGCACATGTTCTTTACTCCATATAACCAGTTTGCTATCTGTCCCCCTCTGGATTGATGTGACCCGGAGGCTGGAGGAGCGCTGGCTGGTCTGGTCATCAGTTTGCTCATGCAGGGGGAGAGGGGGACCGTCTGGGGGCCTCAGGGTTGAAGCATAAAGTTCCTCCTCCCATAGGCTCCTTGAGGTCAGGGAGTGTGGCCTCTTTGCCATTGTATTCCAGAGCCTGGCATGTGCTTGGCATATCATGGGTGGTCAATACATACTTTTAAAAAATGAGTAAGTAAAAGAAGCAAATAAGGCTAGCATGGACTGTAGAAAGAGCACGGAATTTAGTTAGAGACCCTGGCTTGGCTCTCAGCCTTGCTACTCAATAGCGGTATAAGCAGGTTCAGTTTCCTCATCTGTGAAATGGAGACAATAATACTTGCCTCTCAGGGCTGCTGTAGGGATGAAATTATATAGAGAGTGATGCAGCTCTTGGCTCATGGCAGGCCTTGAGAGGTGTTGGCTATTTACTGCAGGTGCCTAGGTGGCTCGTCACAGACGTATGGACCTGGGTCCCCAGCATGTAGCCTTGGCCGACTTGGGGTTCAGGGCAGAGCAGTAAAGCAGCCTGAGGGATGGCAGGGCAGTGCCTGGCACATAGGTGTCTCTGGATGACAGCATGGTGTCTCTTTCCCTGAACTCACTCCACCCATTATGTCTACAGCCCCTGCACAGCAGAGTCCTGCCGGCACGGGCAAGCACACTTTGATACCATTGGACTTTGTTTTCAGCACAGACTTGGAGAGCTTGGGGAGCGAAGCACAGGAAAGCAAAGGCTGGATGGTGAGCAGGATACTCACTTCCAGCACCACTTGGGTTGTGTCCGGCCCTGCCACCAATCAGTCCTGGTGCCTGGGGCAAGTCATGGAATCTCCCTTGGCCTGACTTCCCTGCTTCCTAAAATAGTGGGTGGGTGGCTCCTGGGGAGTTGCTCTAGATCCTGTCTCACCTTTTTTTTTTTTTTTCTACAATAACAGGACAGATGGCATCTGTATATGCATTATATTCTTAGGGCTATACATAGATTTTGAGATATCTCCCCAAATGTTGTAGGGGAACTAAGACATTCAACATTTTGAAATCACTACTGATATTACTGGTTCAGCAAAACTACTCTCTTGCTATGGGCCATGGGCATAAATAGGATTGGATATGAGTTATGTGCAGATGTTACAAGTCTATGCTTCTATGCTGTCTCTTCTGCACAGGAAGTAGAGTAGATTGGAATATGAGTGAGATAAGTGTCCTTATGGGGTAACTGTGCATCTGTCTTATTTTATTTAAGAAGTCATGATTCACAATCTTTGATTCTTGGTTGGTAGTAGCATATTCCCTGTGATGTAATTCATAACTGTGATATATCTCATGACACACCTGTTTTTTGTGACCTCAGAATTGGGAATGAATGGATCAGATATTTTCAAAAGGGACTTTCATCTTCATAGTTTGGTTCTGTGGATTTCATACGTGTCTAGGACTCGCTTCCAAGACAGAGACATCTAATTCAACAGTAGGCTACTTCTGTGGGGTGGAGTTGGTGTGGAGTGGGGTGGGGAAGAGAGGGAAGCCATAGCCAAAGAATTTTGAAAATCTTCTTTCTCAATAACTTACCCATTGCAGACATCATTTCCAATCATGGCATATATCACTATGGCTGGATGGTCCAACAGTTGGTTCCTAGACAAGCTGAGAAGCCATAGACAGAATCCAAATGTCAGACACTTGGAAACCTAGTTTTGTGACCAGTGACACAGGCTAGGCCTGTGAAGATAATCTCTGTACAGCCACCCCCTTGGTAACTTTTTGTTGTTTTTCTTTTATTCCAGTATAGCCGATCACCATTCTCATTTCCCCTATTCTTTTCTATAATCATCATCACACTTCTCTATTGGGAAAGGGCACACAAATGCACAGAACTGAAAAGAGTAGATAGAAGTCCCAGGTAAAGAGACACACTACCATCCTGGCCTCTTTCACAGCACTTGTCATCAATAAACACAAGTGGGTTGTTGGGTTACTTGTGGGCACATTTGCAGGACATCCTGGCTGCTGTAGACCTGCAGTAAACTTTGAAAAGGCAAGGGCTTCCTTAGGCTTCCATTCAAGGCACCCAGAGCCTTGATTCTGAATTTTCAGCCCCAAAAAGCACAAAATGTTTTCTCATTCATAAAGCAGGGATATGACATAATCTTTTTGTTTTTTCAGTTACTTCTGCCAGACTTAAGTTTTACGCACTTTGTATGCATTTTTAAAATCCTTCTTTGAGGACATATGCAAATTAATCACTTCCTATGCTCGAGTGGCCCGAGGAGCGATATCCTAGTGTTTGGAGAGTGACTAACAAGCTATTTATGCTCTGTAGAAGTGATTATGGGGAAACAACAGAAAGTTTTCATTCCTTTTCTTAAATGAGAAACCAAATTTAAAAACAAGTTCTTATATCCATCTTCCACTTACCTTTCTATAAATTGCTTCAGGTTTTGGGAAGATGCACCTAATAATTAAAATTAAGAAAACAATTAAAGTCAGTGAGTCCAATTTCACACTCTTGATGTGAGAGTCTGACTGACTGGATTCATGAAAGAAGCATTATTATACAGTCAAATGTTATCCAGACATAACGTTGGTGGCAATAACTTGCTTCTGGTGAATTTCGATAGTGTTTAATTGTGGAACTCTCCTTAATGCATTATCTGTTTACTTGGCATGATATTAACATACCCACAATTTCCTTGGATTCATGTGTGTCAAGACATTTCCTAAGTATAGAATGAGTATACTTTTTAGTAGATGTGAGAAACTTGTATATATCTATCAACAAAGAGACAAACTCCCTAAATTATTAAAGAATGAGTTAAAGGATTGGAGGGATAGTGAAAAGTATTCTTTAAGAACTACCTATCTCCCTAAAGAGCCCCATTTAGTTTCTTCTTGGTATTTCTGCTCACTTCTGAGGCTCTTTCATGCTGCCTGGCCCGTGTGAGGTTCAGATTGTAGAGTTGATATATTTCTATATTCTCCCCCAGTCCCTGTTATTGCCTGTACTGTATTTCTTACATGAAAATCAATCATATTTATTGAATACTTATTTTATTTTAGGTACCGTTAAACACCGATTAGCTCATTTACACCTTAGTACAACTGTGTGTGGCAGGCACTGCTGTATTCCCATTTTCCAGATGAGGAAACTGAGGTTCACTTGAGTGACTTGCCCGAAGCCAAACAACTACTAATTTGAAGAACTGCAGTTCAAACCCATCCCTTCCATCAGCAATGCTGAGCTCTGGCTCCCCGTGGGACTCTGGTCCTCCAGGCTGGAGTCTAGAGAGAGTGAACCCAAATAGGTTTACTGCCTTTTTGACCCAAGAAGGCTGGTCTGCTAGTAATAAGTGAATAATCCTCAGGTGGGTGGTGCAACTCAGTGGATGGGAGTGGGAGACCCAACATCTAGTTGCATCATTCCATAGGAGGATTCTCCTGTAACTTCTAGCCTTGGAAGCCTGGGGGCAGGTGCATTTTATGACAGGACCAGTGTGTGTTCTTCTAGTTCCCCATGGGGAAAAGGGCACACTGGTCCATGTTCCACTGAAGCTGTGGGTCCATGCAGTGAATGATTCTGCCACATACAAGTTGCAAGCTGTATGGGCAGCTTTGATGTTCTCTTGGCTTATTCAGGAATGTTAGCCCATAAATGAAACTGCTTTATTTCCCCTTTTATCATGGTAAAATATACATCTCATAAAATTTGTCATTTTATCCCTTTTTGGGTGTATAATTCAGTGGCATTAAGTACATTTACATTGTTGTGCAACCATCACCACCATTTATCTTCTGAATTTTCCATGATCTGAAACTGAAGCTCTAAATCCAGTAAAGAATAGCTCTCCATTAACTCATCCCTCCAGTCCTGGACAACCACCATTCTATTTTCTAACTCTATGAGTTTAACTATTCCAGGTACTTCATGTAGACAGCTCATGCAGTTGGTGCCTGGCTTACTTTCCTCAGCATAATGTCTTCAAGGTTCTTCCACGTTGTAGCACACATCAGAATTTCCTTTTTAAGGTTATTCTAAACTCTAACTAATATTCCATTGTATGCATATGCCACATTTTGTTTATCCAGTCATCTGTCAATGGCCATTGGGTTGTTTCTACCTTTTGACTATTATGACTAGTGCTGCTATGAACATGGCAGTGCAGGTATCAGTTTAAGTCCCTGCTTTCAATTCTTTTGGGTATATGGTATACTAATTGAAAGTGCTGGACCATATGGTAATTCTATGTGTGATCTTGTTTTGAGAAAGTGCCATATTATTTTCTTTATTTCCTTTTTGTAGTGAGGCAGGGTATGATTAAAAATGCACATGGCTGTGCAAACCAAGGGCCATCGGTCCGCCTCAGCACGCGGGCACCCCTTCGCCCACTGCATTCGTTGCTGGATCCCAGCCGTGTTGCAGGAGAGTAACAGGTGAGTTGGGCACAGCCTCTATACCTAGCATCTGTGGGGGCTGACACATAACTGAGCGATGGGAACAATTTTAAAAGGGTAGTGTAAATCTAACCCCAATTCTAGAAAAGAGGAAAGCCCAGTGTGATTTGAGGCCTATGAACCCTGCTCAGGGAAGGTGCCTGATTTAATGACACTGAGTCTGGAATACAGAGACCCACAGTCTTTCTGGATGTGAGCTTGCTCCCTCTTGCCCTTCAGAGAGGCAGGCAGGGAGCAGCCCCTCATGCTGACACACGTCCTGAGGTGGGTCCCCTGGTGCTCACACGCCACCTGCACCCGTCATTCCCTTCCTGTCCCAGGACGCTCGACTCCTCATTTCCAGAAAGATAATAAACCAAGAGGTGTTTAATTCTCACTCTTTGATTTTTTTTTCTTAATGAGAAATGAAAACTAATGAAATCTCAACCCATGAGTGGGGGAAAAAAAATTAAAGGACCAGGTCAGACCAATAATTTTCCTTATTGTTCCAGGAATTCGAGTTGCAGAGCACCCACAGGGCACCCACAGAGCTTGAGGAAAACAAAAATGAAAAGCCTGTCACAGCATGCATGCCACGTGGGCAGCTGTCCCTGTGCCCAACACCATCTTTGCTACAGGGAATAAGGATGACACACCAATGGCAACCGGTTGTGGTGAATTTAAAAAAAGCAATCACACACAGCCACCCAAGGAGCAAGGAATTGCCTATTCTTTACCCAAATGTCTCCTTTTACTACAAGCCTGGAATTCTCTTCCAAAGTTCCAAAGTTCTTGCACTTTCTACCATTTCCAAACGGAAATCTCAGTTTTATGAGATTATATAATTAGTTTATGTAATTCTCGTATCACTTTTTCTTCTTAATTTCCCCTCTCTGTTGTTATGCTATCCTTTTGCTAGACTCATTAACATCTTGTGTCTGTCTCCTTCCCAATCCCTATTGTCTTTCTCCTGTACACAGACTTCTCCCCAGTTGCTGTTGCTGCTACAGTTGGAGAAAATAGTCTCTGTAGCAATTGGAACTGGAAGACGTGAGCAGGAGAGACAGCTCCTAGCCTGTGGGGTGTGGAAGACGTGAGCAGGAGAGACAGCTCCTAGCCTGTGGGGTGTGGAAGATGTGAGCAGGAGAGACAGCTCCTAGCCTGTGGGGTGTGGCAAAACAAGACAAACATTTGAAGATCCGCACTACCATTAAGAAGTCCACATTCTGATCTCTACAATTGTAGTTCAGAGAAATGAAAAAGGTTTGACCTTGGGAATAAGGGCATTTTATTTGTCAAGGCAATCCAATGGAGAACCTACCCGTCCCCAATAAAGGAAAGACTAGGGCCTATATAGGCCTTTTTTTTATTTCAGCGTATTATGGGGGTACAAATGTTTAGGTTACGTATATTGCCCTTGCCTCCCATCCCCCCTGAGTCAGAGCTTCAAGCGTGTCCATCCCCCAGATGGTGCGCATGGCACTCATTATGTATATACCCATCCCCTTCTCCCCCCTCCCATCTGCCCAACGCCTGATGAGTGTTATTTTTATATGTGCACTTAGGCGTTGATCAGTGAAACCAATTCACTGGTGAGTACATGTGGTGCTTAGTTTTTCATTCTTGGGATACTTCACTTAGTAGAATGGATTCCAGCTCCTATATTGGCCTTTAAAGTCTGGATTCTGACTCATTCAGTGTCTTTTAAATAAGGCACACTGTACTCCAAGAAGAGAAGGGCTTCACACGATCTCAGCATTGCTTATGCCTCCGCAAATGAATTTCAGCTTACATCTCTACTGGTGGGCCTGTGTTGGCCACAGCAGCAAGCATCTCCTGTTGTGTGCATTCAAATCAACTGGTAAGACAGTTTTAATGCTCTTCTAAATGGAGCTTGTAACTTTTAGTGCCCGGCCCAGAATAGGCACTAAGTCTCAAATTCTTAATGGAAAGAGATGAGGTATATTTAAATATAAGTTGAATAAGTTTTCATAAATTAAGTAATTCATTAATCCAGAAACATTTATGGAGTAGAGTAATCCCCCCTTATTCTTGTGGGATACGTGCCAAGAACCCCAGTGGATGCCTGAAACCTCAGACCGTACGGAGTCCTATATATGCTATGTTTTTTCCTATATGTACGCACCTATGACAAAGTTTACTTTATTAATATAAATTAGGCATAGTAAGAGATTAGCAGTAATAACTGATAATAAAAAATAGAGCAATTAAGTCAAATAAGGGTTACTGGAGTACAGCACTGTGATCCTGAGACAGTTTATCTGATAACCAAGGTGACTCCTAAGTGACTAACAGGCAGGAGGTGTCTGTAGTGGGAATACTCTGGACAAAGGGAGGATCCACATCCCGGGAGGAACAGTGTGGAATGGCGTGCAATTAAGACTTATGACTTGTTTATTTCTGGAACTTTCCATTTAATATTATTGGACTGTAATTGACACAGGTGACTGAAACTCCAGAAAGCAAAACCAAGGACAGAGAGGGACTACTGTACTTACTACGTGCCAGGCATTGTCACGGGTGCTGGGACATAGCAGTAAGTAGAAAAGATGCTATTCCTGTTCTTATGAAGCTTGTGGTTATTAAACAAGCAATGAACATACAGTGCGAGGGATTCTGAGAATCCCTGAGTCCCGAAAGAAAAGCAGGTGTTTTATTTCCTCAAGCCCTAAGATATGAACTTGTTATTTAATTTCCAATAAAACACCTGATGCTCTTTGCACACCGCTCAGAAACAAATCTCTAGTTTAATGCCATAGTTGTTATAATTATCTGTATCAGACAGGGGAGGTCCAGATTTTGTGAGTTCTAAAGCTTATATAATTTGGGGGATTCTCTTTAAGGGAAAGAACATAAAACACAAAACAAGACCTGACATTAGAGGGAAGCCAGACAGGAAAGAGGCCGGGGTCTTAACCAGATGTGGCTGAACACCTTATGTTTGCAAATGTCACAAATGCATATGGTAACCAGGACAGTGAGGGGCTCTCAAGCCTCAGCATC